TTCAAGAGAAACACACGAACTATTCAACAATTAATGCTAGATAGCCTCAGTAGCTTTGCTATAAATACAAAACACAAATTAAAATTTACAAACCATAGGACATCGATTAAACGCTGACGTAGACACCGTTTTACATACTAACAAACTGTGCTGAGATCAGTAGGAGATCATTTGTGCACACGTGACCGTAAAGATCATTACACTACATACGTCATTTTAAAATATTGTTATGGTGCTTACAAGATGATAAAAACTCTGTAACCCAAGCGCTTTCGAAAGATGGACCTTTCTTCTTCAGAGGCAAACTAGGAATGCTGCTTATGTGACTTAAATGTATTATTATATTACACGTGTGACTTTGAGGAACTATTACACTCATACGTGACTTTAGAGTATTATTATGCTTTACAAGTATCTATACATTACACATGTGACTTTAGAGTACTATTACACTCATACGTGACTTTAGAGTATTATTATGCTTTACAAGTATCTATACATTACACATGTGACTTTAGAGTACTATTACACTGCATACGTGACTTTAAAGTATTATCATGACGTATACACGTGGCTTAAATGTATTGATTACACTCCATACGTTATTTTGCTGAATTATTCTGTTAACTACTTCACTGTCACAGTCAACAATGGGCCCGTTATAAAGCACGGGCCACAGTTACTGTCAGAGAATGGAACAAACTTTCATCTTCCTTTACAAACTACATAAAAACCTCGATGTTTCTAACTGTAGTGTTACCATGTTAAACCACTGAAGCAGGGCGATAATGTATTTATTGCACTACAACTTGCCCTTTTTATGGGGCACTGATTTATATCAGAGCTCAATATATTCGTGACTTTGTGCTCAAGTATTTTTCTTTGTAAAGTTTTCCAATCTCTTTTAGTGTTCAACATTTATCAATGCAAAAACCACATCTAATACAGGATAAATCCCAAATCTAGGCACGGTTTTCCCCGTATCCCCTTTACTTTGAGAGCCACTACCAACCCTGCGAAATGACATCTGTATCATCTGTCAACAGCATGCTGCTGAGCGCTGCAACAGATTATCGGGAAACCTCATCTGCACCTGCTTCAGGAACGCCTCCAGGTAGCAAAAACAGTTTGAATAATATCTTTCGGTAAATGCAGTAAAGTTTGAAGTTTGGTGCGCTTCTAGTTAAGCATTGTTTATACTAAAACGACAGGAAGGAAACTTACGAACCCCGAAGAGTAAGCTTTAGATAAAATTTACTAGACCAACAAGGAACATTCAATTATGACATGACACTATTATAAAAAGTCACCCAATGTGAGAGAGAGAAAGTAGTTGGTTTTGGTTTGTTATGAATTTCGCGCAAAGCTACACGAGGGCTATCTGCGCTAGCCGTCTCTAATTTAGTAGTAAAAGACTAGAGGGAAGGCAGCTAGTCGTCACCACCCACCGTTTAGCCTTCTGTTAGACAATAACTGTTTGTTTGTTTGTTATGAATTTCGCGCAAAGCTACACGAGGGCTATCTGCGCTAGCCGTCTCTAATTTAGTAGTGAAAGACTAGAGGGAAGGCAGCTAGTCGTCACCACCCACCGCCAACTTTTGGGCTACTCTTCTACCAACGAATAGTGGGATTGACCGTCACATTATAACGCCTCCACGGCTGAAAGGGGCGAGCATGTTTGGTGGGACAAGGATTCGAACCCGCGACCGTCAGATTGCGAGTCGAGCGTCCTAACCACCTAATGAGAAAGTATGTAGTCATAAGAAAGAAAAAATTACATGTGTTTTTATTAAAAATCGTTTTTGTTAGAAGCATATAAACATAAAGCTTTTTAGTGAATTACAATTGGGCATGGGCGCCACGTCCGCGGGAAGGGGCACTTGTCCCCTTGGAAAATGAGAAACATAATTCTTTCTTTATTCATTCAGCGTATCTATTTTTCATTCAATTCGCAATTTCACACTACTTTGCCCCCCCACCCCCCGGAAAACTTTGCTCCTCCCTGGAAAAATTTCTGCGGACACCCATGTAGTTGGGCTTATCATAAATCTTTCAGTTAGTTGCTTCGGTTGCCTATATAATACGTTAAAGTTTAATCGACATAAGTATTTTTATATTCAAATAGTAATAGAAAGTTCTCACGCAAATAAACAAGGATTGAGTTAAACACTATTCATTGCTCTGAGGTTATTGGAGGTTACGCAGCAAATTTTGAATCACTCATGTTTATTTTATAGGCTTAATATGTTATAGATGATTGATTACGTTTGTTTCTCATACGGAAAAATATTTCATTGTCTCTAGTGGAACAATTTTCTAATTGATTGTCTTATTTTTTATGTCGAACGTGAGATGTTTGAAAGCTGTTTGTTTGAACCAGTCCAGAACTGCAAAGCGACTTTAAAAATGAGGAAAGAAAACATAAAAACAATAATGAAGCTCTAGTGTGATAGGATCTGAAAATGTAAAAAAAATGGATAAAATTGCTTTAAGGGAAAGAGAAATATGTGGTCAACGTTTTGGTGAAGGTCATTTGACGTTTGACCGGAACGTTGCCGCATATTTCTATTTATTTATTTGCTCTTAAAGTGACTTTAGGATTAATTCTTTTTTACGAATTTTAACCTCGCATATATTTTCCTGTTAATTTTATGTGCTACAAAAGAATGAGGAAACAACGCTTTCTGGTAGTTTCGAATTTGAAAAAAGAAAATAATTGAAGAAAATTTGAAAGCATTAGTGAACTCTCTCGTGACTACCAATTTACGAGAAAATATGCAGTTTACCCGATAGATGGCGACACTTAGGTTGAATATAATTCATTCAGCCTCAACAACATGCTTCGTAAGTACAAAGCTCATCCATAGAGCCGTTAAAGCTACGTTTGATCTTAATCCAGCACCTAGACCACTACTTTGTCTGTCGCATCTCAGCATACTATCCTTTACTTTCACTCATAGATGTATTGGATGACAATAATGTTACAGTCAAACAAATCTAATGCATTAACCTGACCAAATAAGGCATATTTTTAGTAAGAGCTTCAGAAATAACCACAAGAACCAAGACCCACTATATTGATATTTTACACTCATTAGTCTTAATCGAGTTATGAATCAAAACCAAAAAGATCAATGACAATTGTGGTATAAGAATAGTTTTGACTGGGTTCAGTAACTAATAGTTCTTTCATTGGTGTTTGTTTATTCAATCTTAGCGCAAAGGTAACAATGGGCTATCTGCGCTTTGTCCACCACGGAGAATTCAGCCCCAAATTTTAGCTTTCTAAGTCCGTAAATTTATCATTGAACCACTAGAAGTCCGTAAACTTAGCGTTTACTCACTGTGAAACTTCATTGATGTAAGGCTGTAAGCTATTGGGTGCGTTGTAAGTCTGTAAACGTACCGCTGACTTATTGGAATACTTCATCGGTGTAAGTTATTGGTTGCGTTGTAAGTCCGTAAACTCAGCTCTGAGTCAGTGTGAGACTTCATTGGTGTAAGGCTGTAAGCAATTGGGTGCGTTGTAAGTCCATAAACTTAGCGTGACTCACTGTGAGACTTCATTAGTGTCAGCTATTGTCTAAGCTATGAATGATGTTGAAAACAAATATAAATTAATCATTATGACGTAATGACCAGTACCTTATATTTATAAGTGATCAACAGTTTTGGTGTTCTGAAGATACAACAACAAAATTAGGTATTTTTAGTCAGAGCAGGATTTATAATTATCATATATTTTTAATAGGGTAGATTATTTTCAGCATTAGACTTAATCCAGAATATAATTATTTTTACACAGATTTCACCACATTATTTAAGCGAATAATTCGAAATGGATCCAACCAAGTTATGTGTTTTATTTGTCTAATCAAGACATTTTTAAAGAGATTGGTTACTGTTTTTTTTTTTTTTTTCTGGGCTTATCAAAGATTAACACCACCACCACCATTTCTGTATTCCGAAAGCTAATAACAGGAACACTAGAAATAAATTTTTAAAAACTATTGTGAATTTCAGAGAATATTTTGAAAATAACAAGCCTTACAACACATTTGATATAATCACTGTTTTGTATTTCTCTTTATTCCAGATTTGTTTATTTAAGATAAACTAAGTTTTGTTTGTAGTTAAGCACAAAAGGACTATCTCAGCTCTGCCCACTAGGGGTATCGAAACCCGGATGCTAGCGTTGTAAGTCCACAGACATACTGTGGGGCAACAAAGTTTTAGTTGATGCTATATTTCTTATGATAATTACACAATGTACATTTCAAAGTTTTATGCGTGCTTTATTGTTTATTATTGCATCGTCGTTATTAATTAAGGCATTCGCTCTTTCAAATTTGTGTTTGCAATTATTTGTCAATAACTTCAGGATAGCAGTTTGAGATGAGCTGAAATGACGAGTTGAGAGTTTTAACTCTACACTGTAAAAATTAAGAAGTTGAAAAATTAAGATTCTTGGAGAAACTGCTTGAAACATTATTTGTAATATTTATCAAACTCCAAAAAAAACGGATGTGTTTATTTGTTTGTTTGTAATTAAGGACAAAGCTATACAATGGGCTATCTGTGCTCTGCCCACCACGGGTATCGAAACCCGGATTCTGGCGTTGTAAGTCCGCAGACATGCCGCTGTGCTACTGGGGGGGGGGGGGACGGATGTGACGAACGACTAGGTTTGTGAATAAAGGATCCCAAAAAAAGGCGTAATTATTCAGCTGTTTTCATTTTCGTCTTGAAATTTGAAACATATAACATAGTGTGATGACGACTTTCTTGTAGAAACAATTTTGAAGCTACCTGAACAGAAGAAATGAAAAACAAAAAAATCTCAGTCAAATCTACTGGTTATCATCATGACAAACGGCAGAATCTTGTCACACTGTATTGGTGGAACTAGAGAGTCTCGGTGCCTCCCCATTCATCTTGCCTACTGCGTGTCCACGCGCCCCGCGGACATCGGAGTTCTCCGGTTGGTAGCAGACAATCACGTGACATTTGGATCACCGTCACTGTGCCGCTGGGCTTACGGATAAGGGTCCTGCTCTTATAGCTAAGCCTAACCCTCCAGGGCAGCAGAAAACATTTAATTGTACCAGACTGTGAAGCAGCTACGAGTATCAAACATGGGGCACTAAAGCTAAGTTTCAGTTTTATGAAAATCTCGTCACTAGCGTGAAAGTCCGAGAATATCATATCTCAAGCTTGACAAAGCTATGATGGAGATCAAAAGTTATTAAGAGCAGATTTATAAGGTAAGTTAGAAGCTTAAACATTAATGGATATCTTTTAACATATCAATAAAACAGATAGAATCAAATATCATTTAACTTTAAGTGGAATGAAATGATTTATTTAAATATATGCAGATAACTGGTAATTTACAATTCATAATAGAAAAAATAAACGCTTTTAAAGCAAAAATTATGCGTTATTACGTGTTTTGTTCGAAATGTTTATAGTGCTGTGTAAATAAACATATGAAAAACAATCAACAATCTAGATTTTAACTGAAAAGCATAGCTCTCAAAATATTTACATTTAATTTTATTAAAAAAGCTCTTGGGGTATATGTATGTATATGCTATCTAAAAAAAAATCAAATTTGTTGTTTTTTTAATTAACTAAATTTTCTTCGTTTCAGTAAGGCCGTTTTTGTGTAACGATATATTTTGAAATATTCAATTATCAATATAAATATAGCATCAGCCAAGAATTACACTATGTGCTTCATTTATTATCATAACGAAGAACAAGTTTGTATGTCAAAAATGTGTCTTCCACTTTGATTGAACCACAACCGTATATATATATTGTTTTAAATGATACTCTAATATTATTAAGATGCGTTTTGTACGGTGCACGAGCGGTTTCTAGCGATAAGACAACGTACAAAAAAAAAAATCTAGTAAATGTTAATCTTCTCATCAGGATGTCGAACCTATACATTACTTAGTTAAGGTTTGATAATAATGACACTAATTAACCATCAGTGGAAAGTTATGTTCAGAATTGCTGCAAGGTTAAAAATACGAATATAAAGAAAACATGAACAAAAGAACTTGTAGTTGATTTAATTAAAACATCTGGAACTAAGAATGTGTTGTGTAGAAAATATCAATAACTCCATCAAATCAAACCAACGGATATATTTTCGTCTTATGAGGTGTCATGGAATATTGTAAGCAATAATGTTTATTACGAAATAACAATAACCATGAAATAAACATTACATGATTCAAACAACAATTAGAAATAACATTTCTTAGAATAAACAGTATAGGGTTCTAGTAACAATTAGAAATAACATATCTTAAAATAAACAGTATAGGGTTTTACTAACAATTAGAAATAACATTTCTTAAAATAAACAGTATAGTTTTCTAGTAACAATTAGAAATAACATTTCTCAAAATAAACAGTATAGGGTTTTACTAACAATTAGAAATAACATTTCTCAAAATAAACAGTATAGGGTTCTAGTAACAATTAGAAATAACATTTCTTAAAATAAACAGTATAGTTTTCTAGTAACAATTAGAAATAACATTTCTAAAAGTTAACATTATTGGGGTCAAGTAGCAATTAGAAATAACATTTCTTAAAGTAAACAGTATAGGGTTCAAGTAACAATTAGAAATAACTATCTTATAAAAATAATATGGGATTAAAGTAAGGATTAGAAATAACAATTGTGAAGTAAACAGTATGCGGTTCAAGTAAGGATTAGAAATAACAATTGTGAAGTAAACAGTATACGGTTCAAGTAAGACTTAGAAATAACAATACTAAAGTAAACAATATTGGGGTCAAGTAGCAATTAGAAATAACATTTCTAAAAGTTAACATTATTGGGGTCAAGTAGCAATTAGAAATAACATTTCTTAAAGTAAACAGTATAGGGTTCAAGTAACAATTAGAAATAACATTTCTAAAAGTTAACATTATTGGGGTCAAGTAACAATTAGAAATAACATTTCTTAAAGTAAACAGTATAGGGTTCAAGTAACAATTAGAAATAAAAATCTAAAGAATATAAGGTTCAAATAACAATTAGAAATAACTATCTTATAAAAAATAATATGGAATTAAAGTAAGGATTAGAAATAACAATTGTGAAGTAAACAGTATACGGTTCAAGTAAGGATTAGAAATAACAATTGTGAAGTAAACAGTATGCGGTTCAAGTAAGGATTAGAAATAACAATTGTGAAGTAAACAGTATACGGTTCAAGTAAGACTTAGAAATAACAATACTAAAGTAAACAATACAAGGTTCAAGTAACAAATAGAAATAAAAATCCTAAATTAAACAATATGAGGTTCAAGTAACAATTAGAAATAACTATCCTATAGTAAATAATATGAGGTTCCAATAACAATTATAAATAACAATCCTAAAGTAAACAATATGAGTTTCAACTAACAATTAGATATAAAACCCTAAAGTAAACATTATGAGGTTCAAATAACAATTATAAATAACAATCCTACAGTAAACATTATGAGGTTCAACTAACAATTAGATATAAAAATCCTTAAAGTACATTTTTTAGGTCCTCTAGTGGGTCAGCGGTAAGTTTACGAAAACTTACAACACTGAAATTCAGGACTCGATTCCTCACAGTGGACAGAACATAGATAGCTTATTGTGTAGGTTCGCGCTAAAATAAAGTAACAAACACACGTTATTACAGAGTATCTTATATTTTGTGTTACTATTAGGTAATTAAATTCTCATTACAAGGCAGGCAAACTTCCAACTTTCAAGTAAGTTGCCATCTTATATTACGAGTTAGGTATTTTCTGTGTATAAACTAGGTAATATTTTTATTTCAGGAAACTGCTTTCGCTCCGTCAGGAATGTGACCTTTTAACTCTCGCATACTCTACCATTGTTTACTATCAGGCAGGCAACATTCTATATATTAGATAACTTTTTATTACTTCAATATATAGCAGACAAAATCAATTATTATCCGATCTTCAAAAGGCCTAACAAAAACATACAAGAAACACATAAGGCAATATTGAAATTGTAACAGTCGTTATATTTACATTGTTTCACAGGTTCTTTCACCAAGGAAAACAAACAAAAAGGTCCTTTTAATTACTTCATTGTGTGTTTCCACCAAAGAAAGTATTCAATATATCCAATACACACTTACATGACGTGAGATCGTTACCTAAAACAATGTCATATAACAGTTTAGTCTAAGAGCGATTGGAATTATTAACCCAACAATTATTACTGTTGCACGAAGACATTTGAATTTCAGGTGTGGCCAAGTGGATAGCGTGCTGGACTGTAGATCAGAGGGTCCATGATTTGCATCCCATTACAGCAAAAGGTAAAACAAAATATCGCGTTCCGCACTTGAGGGAAGTGGGTGCATTATAAGAGTGACAGTCAAATCCCACCGCTCGATTAGAATTGGCGGTGAGTGCTGTTTATCTGCGTGGTATTCATAACGTCAGCCGTACTCTCTATAATGTTAGTTCTAACATTTCCAGGCTTCAGTTGTCTATAAATATCTACTATTCGATAATTTTAATAACCATCATTGCCCTGGTTTTGCCTTTGTTTGAGGGGGTCTACTTACACCTTTCTGTTTCTAGTCAAGACATTTTAATAACCATCATTGCCCTGGTTTTGCCTTTGTTTGAGGGGGTTTACTTACACCTTTCTGTTTCTAGTCAAGACATTTTAATAACCATCATTGCCCTGGTTTTGCCTTTGTTTGAGGGGGTCTACTTACACCTTTCTGTTTCTAGTCAAGACATTTTAATAACCATCATTGCCCTGGTTTTGCCTTTGTTTGAGGGGGTTTACTTACACCTTTCTGTTTCTAGTCAAGACCCTTGGTTCAGCACATTAATTTGCTTACAGTTAGGTTTGTGAACAAGTTTAGCTTGCAGCATTCTGAGGCTTAGCTAACCTAAGGTAATGGTTGACGCGAAGCACTTTACACATGCTTCAATGTGAAAATATTTCTAATTGTGCTGTTTTTTTTTTTACTTCAACACGCCATGTTCGGTCACTGTCGCTTTACGTCTTTTTTTACTTCAATACGCCATGTTCGGTTACTGTCACTTCACGTCTTTTTTTTACTTCAATACGCCATGCTCGGTTACTGTCACTTCACTTCTTTTTACTTCAACACGCCATGTTCGGTCGCTGTCGTTTCACGTCTCTTTTACTTCAACACGTCATTTTCGGTTACTGTCGCTTCATGTCTTTTTTATTTCAATACGCCATGCTCAGTTACTGTCACTTCACGTCTTTTTTACTTCAACACGTCATGTTCGGTCACTGTCGCTTCACGTCTTTTTTACTTCAACACGCCATGTTCGGTCACTTCACGTCTTTTCATGTATCTGCTGGTCAAATTCTGCATTAATTCCGTCGTTGTGATGACTCTATCAGTCCTTCCTTTCACCAACCACGAATATTCCAACGTAAGCTATCAAGAAAATAAGATGTGTGACGAAACTTTGGTCAAGCACAAATCCTTTCCATTATTTTTTTATTTTGTTATTTGTTCTATTAGTTTTAAGAATTTTGGCGCGCCAAGTTCTGTCTCTGTTATATTGACGTACCTATGGGTCATTTGGAAGAAACCATGACGTCGAAGACTGAACAAGATCTGAAGAGTTGACTCCAACTTGGCACTCTTCTAGGATGTGACAAGCACCTATTGCTTGACCATTTGATTCTCGGCTGACCTTAAAGTGATCTTAGCAGACAGCTGATTTGGGGGGTGGGGAAATCAAAAGTGGCGTGAAAACGTTACCGCTTGACCAACAGCGTTCTCTGCATGGCTAAAGCTGATTATGGAGAATCCAACTAGGGAGTTTTTCTTTGCAACGCTAAGACTGACTCTGTGTTCAGTATATCTTGACCAACAGCGTTCTCTGCATGGCTAAAGCTGATTATGGAGAATCCAACCAGGGAGTTTTTCTTTGCAACGCTAAGACTGACTCTGTGTTCAGTGTATCTTGCCCAACAGCGTTCTCTGCATGGCTAAAGCTGATTATGGAGAATCCAACTGGGAGTTTTTCTTTGCAACGCTAAGACTGACTCTGTGTTCAGTATATCTGATCACCTGCACTGGGAAAAAGTCACTAAATCCTGGTAGTTAATTCTAGCTTCTGATCTCATATATATATATATTCCCTCAATATAAGAATAAGCCTTGATTCTAAGCCTATACATTCTGATAGAACGAAACTCTCTCTCTATATATATATATAC